CGCGTAATTGATAATTGACGGTAATGCGAGGACCTGCACGACTAAATTTCTCGTGAAGAAATTTAATGAAGATCAACGAGATAGAGAGCGAGCGTTATTCGGATGAGGAGGTCGAGGGCAAAAATCATGTCATGAGGCTCGACTGCTCGACTACAGTCGAGCCGCGACGTGTCAATCCATTCTGATTTTAATTTTGGAACTTTCAAATATTTCGACAATATAATTAGAAAAATCAGTTTGAAAAGATCTTGTTAGTAATAAAAAATGATTGTTTGTCAGTATAATGATAAAGCAATTTGATTAAATTAATATAAATTATACTGTATGTAATAAAAAATAGTTCAATTGCTTACGAGAATATTAACAGGTACATTCTTGATTTATTTATTAATCTATTTATTATTAACGAGCGCCGCTTGAGGCGCGCACACATCTATGAGGATGAGTTATTATTACCCAGTTTGTGGTAACAGCATGTTTTTCTCACACATGCGACGAGAGAAAGAAGACCCGTTGAAAAATTTACGCCACGATCGCCGCCATTGTCTCAACCTACTGACTTCTTCGAGATAAGTCTCGTTGCATCGTTTTACGCGCGACACGCCCTCGTAAATATGCTTTTAGTCTTTATGAACGTGAGACGGTTGCTCGAAAGCAAATGCAATAAAACTACGTGCTCAAGGGTTATGCTGAACATAATTATAGAAGCCTTCAAGAGCTGACTCGTAAAATAAAATTCATTATCGTAATGAATCAAAAATAATTTCTTCAAATTAATACGCGAATAATAATTTAGAATTTTTTATAAATTTTTAAGATTCATTAATTCTTCGCGGAAGAGATTACTACGATATGTTAATACATAGTGATTTTACAATAAGATGAACGAAATTATAATAATATGATTAGATGCCATTAGATTAATTAATAATTCAAGATCAACAAGGTTCGCTTGGCGACTGTTCAATATGGTTAATTCATGTTTCTATGGTTAATTAGGCAATTTGATCGCGATGGAAATTATCTCGAAAGGTTCTAAACTTTTCTAAGGTAGGTCACGGTTTCCGAAGACAAAATTCTCCGGCCACAATCTTTGGCACGCTCCGCTTCGACTTGGACGCATTTGGATTACTCCGAATTTCGCTTCGCGAGTCTCGCAGCTTCTACGATATGAAGTGGAAAATATGTTCGTAAAAGTTGCGGCTTTTTTATTTTGAAGCCAATTTAAAAAACGAGTCGAGCATTGACCTTTAATCACGAATAAGATACATATACATTCAGTTGAAATGGTTAAATATTGGAGTAGTTGTGCTGCGAAATTATAAAGAAAATAAGAAAATTTATATAACATAGGTAAAACAAAGAAAATGGTATAGACGCGTAGTAAGTATAGGCCGCTAGAAATGTACAGATAAAAGCAAGATGGCACGCGAAAAAGTCAATAATTGCAAGTAGTTTATTATTTTCCTTTCTTTCGGAGACTCGATTCGTGCGCGTGAGTTTTTCTTCGTATATTTTTCATTCTGTTTACTAATACAAGACGATTTGCAAGAATTAAACATTGTATGTACAAATAAGCACAAAATTGCATATCAGTTTTTTGTGAAGATAAAAGAGATCAATTCGCGGTTAAATTATCACTAAAAAATAAAATATCGAAAAAAAAACAGAGACAAATTCGACTCGAGCACACCGTGTCCGAAGTCCTTCGTCGCGTTTCGTAATCGGTATCTTACGATTTCCATTTATTTAACAAGGACCTTGCAGCGATTCAGGAATGTATTTTCATACTCCGTGGGGAGTATGTAAAATAGTACGCAATAGAAGAAAAACACTGGTTTCACTAGAGCACTGCATTCGTTATTTGCGAGGTCGCGTCGCGCGTTTTGCGTCACAGATTGCGGTCAGATCGCGTGGCCATTAGGGGATTACAAGTTACAGTAAATTTTCCCAGTGCAGCCCTGAGAAAAATCGCGCGTGACACGCATCCTCGCCCACGCACGTGTTGAATAAAGAGCAAGAGAAACATAGAGAGAGAGAGAGAGAGAGAGAGAGAGAGAGAGGAAGAACACAGATTTAAAAAATCAAACGATCGAGATGGATCTTGATTTATCCTCCTGACTCACTCGTCGAGCCCGATCGGATTAATCCCAATCAATATAGAGATCTACACGCAGGAGTCACCGCACTGTTCACTGTGCCATATCATTGGCCTTATCACTGTTGTGATTATCACTGTATCATCGGGGATGCGATCCTGAGGATCGACGTTGCTCGCGATCGGCTGCATTCGATGACATGCGGGATGACACGAAGGGCTAGAAAGGGAGTTCGAGAAAAAGGCAGAAGAGAACGAGAGAGACAGAGTGGAGGAAAAAGAGACGAACCAACGAGAAGGGGGTGCTACAAAGACGGAGAGAGACAAAGAGAGAGAGAGAGAAAAAGAGAGCGCGCGCGAATGTCCGTCGATGCAGCCGACAGCACGACTGGCGGCAGCGGCCTCACCGCACCTCTGCACATCCACCCACGCTATATCGATCTCTACCGTCCTCCGTTGTCGCACCCCTCACCTTCTTCCTTGCCCCCTTCTCTTCGGTACTCTCGCGCATCAGGAACGGAGTGCCGGTACCGGGCGCTGCTGCGCTGATATCAGCGATTCGGCGAGGCTAGTGCATTGAGATGGTGGTGGTACTGGTGGTGCTCCTGATGGTAGTGGTGGTGGAGGTGATGGTGGTGGCGATGGCGGCGGTGGAGAATTAACTTGAGCTCGGACCCGATTATATGCATCGCGGGGATATAAGGCGTGTGTATGAATGGATGAAGAAACTGCGATGTGTACGTGAGAACGCGATTGGATAATAGTAACGCTCGCGGGTAGGATGAGTGGAAGGGTGCATCCTGGATGTACAGGTGCCGAACAGATTTGCGTATCCTTCTCGTCTACAGATTTCTCGACGAAAATTCAAAATCGCGGCTTTCCCGAAGCTTTTCTTCGATTTTCTCGACTTTTAAAGTTAACTATTTCGATATCTAAACGCGTTACATTATTGAAATCGTATGATAAAACGTTCAATAAAACTTATATGAACAGCTATATGAATAGCTTATATGAATACCGATCAATCATGTCTCTTTCAATCATGTCAATTCTATTAAATTCTTAAAATTTTTAGATATTCGACGAGAAATTTTGTGTGCAAAGCTAACCTTTTCCATTCATTTCTACAAACACAAAAGTATTCTCTCTCTCGCTGGAATATATATATAAAAATTATGCAAATGTAAATTTCAATTTAAATTAATTTTTGTATGATTGCAGTATTGTGAATTATATGAATACACAAATTCCTCAACAAATCTATAATTATACAAATTACAGATTCGTTGAGGAATTTTACACATACGGTGATTCTATGCGAATAGATTGTCGCAAACACGACGTATGTTCGCTTGCATTAGCAATTAGACTTTGTATGACATATGCACGATCTTACGTAACATTCTACTGAGTAATAACGCTTATGATATCTCCATTAACCTGGATCTCCTATCATTGTAAATAAAATTCGCTGCAATAAGTAAAAAATTTAGTGCTCTTTTTATATATATTTGCTAATTTTTTATAAGCATAATGCGCTGTAGAGCCGTGCAATCAATCGAGTGTCAAGAGTTTAGGTGCTATTTCATTTGTGCGTTTTTATCGTACAACAAATGTGTGCAGAACAGAGATAGGATCTCTCTATCCTATAGCCAATCAACAGGCTTGAAAAATTTGCCGTACGACAAAAACGCACAAATGAAATAGCGGCCTTAGAGTTGCGTAGGAAAAAAGTTCAAATCGACAACAGAATATAGTAATTTAACCGATTTTCTTGACGCTTCTTCCTCTTCCATTTCGGCGTCCATTTCGGCGAATTACGTAAGGACCGAATATGAAGGATTCGCTAAGATAATACTGCAAGGAATAAACGCAAGAGATAATATTCCTATAGAATAACGAAATTTTGGAATAAATATAATTTTTATCGCAATATCCGAATTATTTTGGAAAAAACATTAATATTATGTGACTCTGAAATTATTCTGAAGATTTTATACGAAACTTATAAGAAAACTTAAAAACTTTGAGTCAAGGATATATGTATATCAATATTGTATGTATTACATACAAATATAATTAAATATATATATAATTAAATAGATATTTATACTTAATATGGTGTGAACATCTATTAAATATAGGTGCTCACCATCTTTACCTATTGTTTGACTTATATATTATCTCTCTTTCAACAAAAGGAAATCGTTGGAAAATTTGCATGTAACGTGTGCGGGCCAGACGGCATGTCGTAATGTCGACAGCGGTAGAGACAGTTTTAATGCGTAATAGTTACACTGTACCACGAACAGGCAGTAACCACGGAGAATCATCGTAAACAGTTTGGTAGTGCGGTGGTACGTCGATAGAGATATAGAGGGGCGCGGCGGAGCCGAGAGAGAAAAGAACGTCACTTCCGGCCCATTAAGATCGTCAAGGGTCGCGAATCGAGCATGGGAGGCTAATTATTCTGGAGACAGTGTCTCTCATCTTCGATAATTTTTGCTCTCCTTTTTATTCCTTTATTATCTAATAATTTTAAGATTTTTTATTCACGACAAAGTAATGCCTCGAAAGACGATAAAAATCATCAAAAAATTCATCTCAACGAGACGAGGAAGATATCCTTTCTAGAGACGATGTTGGTCATCTTCAATGATTTTTCAACGTCTCTACCCCTTCTTGTTCTGATGCTTAATTTACTTTCCAATAATTTCGTAAGTTTTGCATTCATGAAGAAAGAATTGGAAGCTCATTAGGTCACATGGGACGTATTTCTTTTCAAAATGATTCTTAATTAGTTTCCTTCAATATTTGGCGATGTTCTAATTTATCTCATAATATCTGACGATTTGTTAAGTTTTTATTTGTAAGACTAGATTTTGTCTTAACAGGATCTTACCTGATTTGCGTGTGGTAGGCAGGCGTGGTGTGCTCAGTGTGCGTGGTCAAAAGTTCCGTGGGATTGTTGGCCATGTTTATCGGGAGTCCTGTCGAATGCGTGATCGGCTCCAGCAAGAGAACACCTGGCGTCGCCGGCGATGGTTGTGGACCTAACAACGAGACGCGTACTTTTTCTCTACCTTCGCTGAAATTAAAAGAAGCATATTGTATTGGTATAAAAATGAAAGAGAGATATATGTTATACATATTTAATATAATCAGGCATTATAATTAGGAAAATGTGTTTTCTTATTTTCCTTATTATATTATTATATTTTTTATTTCTATTTATTATTATCTCATATTTTTCTTATATTAATATCTAAATACAGATACTTAATAGTATTTTTAATAATTACTACACTGCAAAGATGTTAACAAATGACATTTGCATTTGGAAAATCGGCAGGTTTGAATAATAAATTTTTCCACGAAGCCAGCCTTGCGAGACTCATGGAAAAAAACTAAGCGAAATTTAACGATTTAACTTCCGCTTTTATCGCCACGCCTCCTCGCGTGTCCTACCCCCAGGAATATGCAGCAACCTCCCTCGAAAACGTCTCTTATGCACGCATATGTATGATTCTCACGTACAAAGCGTCTAATCCGATTGGCTAGAAGGTAACGATTAACATATTGAGTGTTGAACAAATTTTCTCAGTTTCGCAATTTCCATTAAATTGTATTAAAAGATTAATTAAGGAGTCTTTCAGGAGTCTCTTCTTACACGATTCAAAATAATTTTTGTAGATTTAACAGTTAGGTTCTTTCTGGACTGATTCTGTAAGAGTTTGAATTATAGGTAATGTATGTATGTGTATGAATATATATTCATACATAAAATTAATAATAAAATTAATTAATAATAAGAATATAATGTTTGTAAATATAATACATATTTTAATATATGTAAATTTTTGAATAGTTTTTATCAGTGTTAAAGAATATATAGCGAATTCGGTAGAATGCACTAGTACGCACAGGTGCATATTAAAGCCGTTATATATTGATTTTATTTTAGTGTAAAAGTGAAATGTAAATATTTCGAATTATAAAATACACATTTTTCCTAACAATGTAATAAAATGAATAGAAGATTTGGCGATTTAATCCGTTTCTCTATATTTATATTAAACACATTTTTACGTCAACTTGAATGCGACAGCTTTAATGTACACCAGTGCGCACTGAATGCGTCCAATCGAATTCGCTAATAATTTGCTATCATATACATAGGTATATATAGACACAGTATATTTAGAGAGGGATCCGACTTTTCGCGGAAACGAGGTCCACCACACTTCCTCCTTGCCTAGGGACGTTCAACTTTTCACGCCAAGCGAGGTCCATCCCCTTTCCGCCCTGCTTAGAGGCGTTCGACTTTCCACTAGTATATCGCCAGAGGCGAATGACTTTCCTTTAGGCGGGGGAGGGAGATGGGATGGACCCCGCTTCGTGTGAAATGTCTCCTTTATTCCGTTTTGGCATAAAAGAGCAACATTATGTAAATTATATAGCAGAGTATAATTATGTAAAAAAAATATAATATATATAGTAAAATATATATTTTATGTTTAAAAATTACGTTTTTTTAATAAAAATGATTTTGTTAATAATTTTTTAGCAGATCGACTGGTAAAACTTATCAGGGATACTACTCAGGACTTGTATAATGCAAATTTTAATTGCGTGTGGTGCATTAATAAAAAATTGTGGTTTCTCAGATTCTGATTGGCATCCGTATTTCAAAATCGAGGTAAGTAGATTTTGGTTGATAAATATACCGAGCAGGGGACCTTGTTTCAATGATTTTGACCTTGACACATATTATCACGTAACCTTGATAATATATGTCAAGATCAAAATCATCGGAGTAGAGTCCCCTGTTCAGTACAGGATGGCTCACAACCACACAATACTTTTATAGCGTATTCTAGATTATAACAAATTAATTTTAAAAGTTAAACATGTAATAATAGATGTCTAAACATAAAGCTATAATTTCCAATCTCTTCATTTGCGCACAAATCAGTATCAAATGGAAAATATAATAAAAAATATTTAAAGTGACACCATTCATCAACTTTTCTCTACTTTGCTAAAGTAAATTAAATCAGTCGATGAGATATCGTTATACATGTAGTAACAATTTTAATTCTTCTAATAAAAACAATAATATTTTACCGATGAATTCGTATCGAACGCAAATTCGTATCGCGAACGATAGCTCGTCGTCTGTACTATCGTTCGCCATTTGCACGATAAAATTCCGACACGAGTATTTCAAGCGCAATGCGATGAGTCATTCGCCGATAAAAATTGCGTTCGACTATGAATAGAATTAAACCAGTATTTATTTTTCATGATAAATAGGCCGTCGCGGTACTCTCGCGCGCGCGCATGTTCGAATAAACTACTGGATGCTTTAGTGTGTTAACCTTTATTCGCTTCTCCTCACTATTCGAGGCTCGAATTTATTCGCTTTGATGGATGCATACTTATGATATTGCAATTTATGTCGAGGCGCGTCGAATGTGCGATACCGAGCACTTATGTTTTCAGAGCACCTCTCGCGTACGAGTGTTTGGACGTTATTAATTGAGTGACTTAGAAATTAAGCGACCTTTCCGTTTCCGTTAAGCAAAAATATCTTTAATTGCATTTTAGTCGGATGTATCCTTGTATATTTATTAAACAAAGTGTAGACTCGTATTCTTTGGTATTCAGAAGAACGCTTGCCTCAATATAGGTCACGAAAGTAATCCACTCACGAATGAGAATTGCCAATCCTCCGAAAAAGGTATAAACGATCGTTCGCGTCGAAGCCTCGTCGGAACACGTATTGAGGGAGTCATGATCTTGTGCAATATCCTGTCGGTTGCGTAATCGACCAAAACGAGTCGACGGGGATCAAGCAGCAGCGTCGAGAGGAAAACGAAAACGCGAGCTGGACGATGCTCGGAATCGGTTCCCGACCACGGTCACCGACCGTGGAATCAATCTCGCGTATCGCGATAACGATTGTTTCTTACGTTATATCTTTCAGGAGATGAATTTTTTACTTTTTCTAAAAAGAATTTGCTTTATTTCATCGCGGAAGAACTTGAGCACACCTTGCGTAACCGAGGATTCTCAAGAATTTAAATTCTCGCTTTATGTTGAAATAAAGTAAGCCATTGCGCAAGTAATATTTATCTGTAAAAATAGTTTGCATAATCTACACACAGACACATGCTATTGTTATTTACGCATTGACGCCTGACAGCACCCGTGTCAGCATCGTGACGTCATCGAGTTAAATACCTTACAAGAATGATTCAAGCCTTGACAACTCGTGACATCATCCTAATCATCCGACACCATGCTCACGATCAGATTGAGCGATAAGTTATTTTTCCCGGCGCTATTCTGGACGATACATCGCGATAATTCGCCTATCAGTTTTCATAATGATCAGGAAAACTCGAGGACTGTATACCTATCTACTCAAGACTGGATATCACGCATATTAAAAGCCGAATAAACGAAGATGTAAACATTAAAATAAATTTCACAGCGCTGAGTATTCTTCTATAATAATATTGAAAATTAACACTAGAAGTATCGAGCGGACATTATTGACTGTTTCTATTTTTTTAGATCAATACGATACGTTTTGTGTAGAATTCTGAATTTTTTTCCACTTTTCAATAATTATGTCTTTTATACTGATGAAATATACTTAGTTTTAATTTTATTATAAAGGACATAATTATTATATATATATATATATATATATATACCCGTATAAAGAATATAATTTTATCACTTTTTTCATTTTTATAATAATTCATTCGCTTGATCATTTTAAGGAGTGGTACACTGACAAAAAAGTTGTTAACTTGACTAAATGCGTTTAATAGTTATTATTTAGTTCAAGTTCTGGGACGTAAATCCCAGCGCGGCGTATTTGCCGGGTTTACCTTATATACTGTCGTTAAAAATTACAGAATTGGGGTACAGGTTTTAATTTTAATTGAAGGGATATTAATTCAATCGTTGAGCAGAAATTGATATAATATGATCCTCCGTAAGAATTTGTACGTGTATATTCTTGTTGCTAATTATATTATATATATATAATATATTCGCTCTTCGAGGAAGAAATGTATTCTTTCGCGACACTTGAAATTAACAAATGCCAAGCTGCTCGCCGCAAAATGATACGTTGTTCTAAATATAGATGCATGCACTCGTGCAAAATGTTAAAATTTTCAATAAAAATCGTATTTAGCAACAATCGATAAAGGAGAGTTCGAAGTGCTATAGAATTCGTAAACAAATCGCGATAAATCCACTCGTAAAATTCCAAGCGAAATTGTTTGCATGTGCGTAAACTGTCCATTTAACTAAATTGACCGTTTTATCGATCGAATACGATTATTTTTCATGTAAGTTTTTCCAATTGCCTTTACAGATTAAAAAATTCTTTTTTACAATTAAAGTATAAACGATAATGTAGTCCAAACTGGTCAATTTTAAGCAAAAAACAAGAAAAGTTGAAAAAGTACAATTTTGTTATCGACTTCTGGTGTTGAGGTCATGTAAGAACACAACCAATACGAATAAACGCCTTTAATGGTCTAGCTGGATTTTAAATGCTTGTATAATTATGTGTGAATCTATACACTACGTATGTAGTCCTCTAAACTGTGCGGCCCCCCCCCCCCACCGAAATGATTTTTCGGTCTTGAAACGCAAACTCTACTAAACCGCAGTAATAAGATTAATGATTTAGAAAATTTGTGTACGTGTGCGTGCGATATTGATGTAACAGTATGTAGTGATGTGTCGATGATACATTTTCAATCGTATGTGTGTAAATCTTATTGAATTTGAACTTTAGAATTCCCTTAACTCCGTTACTGGTTATTCTTTAAGAAGCTACTAGAGATAGCAAAAATTTTTTTTCGCAATATTTTTACATATTCAAAATATGAGACAGATATATGTACATAAGATAAATGGCCTAAAATCACTACTATGCCTATGAGACGTAAGATGAAAATCAAATCGCCGCGTTTATTAAAGCTGAATGCAGAGCATTTTAAAGACGATCGTATCGACACGCGAACGATCATTAGAAGGTCCTAAAGATTGAGTTAT